TGCATGGGTTATGCGCGGCTCTGGCGGCTCGAGCCGCAAGCCGCTGCATCACAGGCCCCTGTAGCCGGCGCCTGGTGTGTGTGTGTGTGTGTGTGTGTGTGTGTGTGAGAGAGAGAGAGTGCGCACGCGCGTTTATATTGTCTGCGCAGCCCCCGCCAGCTGCTTCGCGTGCAGTGCAGAGCCTGCAGTCGGCCGGGGCGGCGCTGGGCGTCCCCGCCTCGAGCGCCTGGCGGCGCGCGCCTCCCGCATCATCCGAGGTCCCACACCGCTGCGACAAGAGCGCCGCCCGCACCGCGGTTAGATCTGCAGCCGTCGAATCCGAATCCAAGCATGTTCCGATATCAAGTTTCTCAGTATGGATGTTTGCATTTCGAAATGCGTTCGGATCTGCACCCCCAGGGAGGACGCATGGGACAGCCACGGGCGGGGGCGGCGCAACCGCACCATGCAGCGGCGGGAGCGCTTCAGCATGAGCGACGAGTCGGACTCGGACTACTCCGCGTCGGACGAGAGGTGCGGGCCCTGGACTGGACTGGACTGGGCTTGACCCGGCGCCGGCGTCGTCGTGAACGCGTGCTCTGGGGCGCCAATCTGCATGCAGCACGCTCATACAGCGGCCTCGCCGCCTGCTGATTGGAGATGGATCGCATGCTCATAGACACGCCTCCCTGTCTCCGTACTGTGCGCGCACCGCAGGGGCGGCGGCGGCGGCGGGGTTGGCGGCGGCGGCGCGGGCGGCGACGACGACGACGATGATGAGGAGTTTGTGCCCGACGCGGAGAGGTGAGGATCCGGATTGGACCGGACTGGATCGCGGCGGCCTCTCTCATACGTACCGGGCAGCTCTCTAGGCGCCGCGCACGCGTCCGGCAACACACGGCGGCTGGTGCAGCGCAGGCAACCGCGTTTTCCCGCCACGTTCAAGGCGCCAAGCGGGCGCCCTCTCCAGGGGCGAGGCGTCCTCGCCACAAACATCCTGCACAATGCGCCCTGTCTCAAAAACGCCCCGCGCCTCCTCAACCGCCGCCGCGACAGGCAGTCCGACGACGAGGAGGACGACGACGAGGACGCTGAGCTGGACGCTGAGATGATGAGTCAGCTGCGCGCGGAGGGCGCCGCCGCCAACCGCGGCCGCGGCGGCGGCAGCATGGCGGCGATGGCGGCGGCGGCGGCGCGGCGGCGGGCGTTCGAGGCCGGGCTGCCGCCTCTGATAGAGAACATGCACGTGGGTGGCGGTTTGCCGCGGCTGCTAGGCTGCTGTCTTTAGATGTGGGCCCGCACTTATCCTCGCGTGCGGCTTCTGCCGCTCCCTCTCCTCACCTCCCCTTGTCCCCCCGTCCCTAACACCCTCTCTCCGGCCCCCTCTTCCGCCCTGTCTCTCGCAACCCGCACCCCACCCCCTCCCAAACGCCCGTCCGTGAAACGCCCACCCACCCACCGGCGTCCCCGCCTCCCACCCCCTGCACCCCCAAACCCTTCTCATTTTGCCTGGACGCTTTGCTCGCACAAACCCCTCAATCTACGCAAAATCGAAATCCTTGTTTCACACAGGCCGGCGTCCAGGGCATGCGTGTGTACGGCCTCAACGCCCAGGAGCGCGCCGGCCTTCTCGACGCCTTCCTCGCGTTCGGCCTGCGCCCCGCCGCCAGCGGCGACCCCGCGGACGTCTTCAAACACATGTCGGACGCCGCGCCGGGCAAGAACCTCAAGCACGTGGGTTGGTGGGGCGCGAGTGTAGGATGGCTTGAACCTTGCAGCTTTGGGCTTGCCGGAGTGTGCGTGTGTGTGTGTGCGCATGTGTGCATTTGTGTGTGTGTGTGTGTGTGTTTTGTGGGAGGAGGGGCAGGGGGCTACAGGGTCTCGGCGCCTGGCGCGGGGGCAACGGACGCTCGAGCGGCCGGCAGCGCCGCGCAGCGCGCCGGCAGCGGCGCTGCTCCGCACAACCTGGACGGATGATGTTGGGGGCTGCAAGTCGACTGGGCGGATCGCAAGCAGGGACGCGCGGCGAGGGGGTAAAACGCAGGTCCGGCGGCGCAGCCTCTAGACCAACGCTGCGGAGGTTGTTCCGCCAGCGCCTCCCCTCCTCCCCGTCTCATTGATTCCCTACTCAAACCTCAACACCGCGGCCTGGACCCCGAACCCCACCCCTCTTCCCCCTGCAGATCGCGCATTACGTGAATCTGCTGCTGCGCCACACGTCCGTGCCCGTGGTGGCCGGCACGGACACGTTTCCTGACGGCGTGCCGCGCGCGGCCACGCTCGGCGCATACAAGGCGTCGCAGGTGGGGATCGAACCCCCGCCCGCAATTTCTCCCTCACCCTCCGCGCCCGGCCCCGGCCCCTGCAAGAAAGCATGCCCGGACCCAGAGAGGGGTTAAACACGCCTCGGGGGCCGCGTTTACTGTCCAAATACAAGCGAGCGAGCATTCGTTGGCAAAGGCAGACGCCAGACACCTCAGGCCCCGGCGGTCCCCACCGGCCTGTCCCCGCCAGGGCCGGCGGCCCCCGCCCCGGCGCCTGCCGCGGGCTCTGTATGCTCTCGGTGCACGCCTGCTGCGCTCTTGCTGCACCCACTCCTCAAGTTCTTCTCCTCCTCTCCCCCACGCGCCGCGTCCCCGGCACACCCGTCCCCACCCCCTCCGACC